CCCCCCCGCCACCACAAGTCAACATTCTTTGTCCCGACCTCCCACCTTCGTGCTGTGACTCGATAAGAAGCCTTCTGTTCTCAGGTGGATTTTTGCTGTTCAGGGCACATTTTTACGCCTCGCCTTTACGAAACAAAAAAGGATGTCTAGATTTTTTATAAAGCCAAACGCAGAAGTTTGTGGAGGACAAATTTGAGCCAAAAATAAATGAAAACAATCAAGGAGCAAAATTAAATCAAAAGAAAAGTAAATTCAGATAAGTATAAGTACAGTCAAACCTCAGTTTTCGAACGTCTCTGTTCTCGACCAAAAATTTCGAGTTTTTTATGCCTCGGATGATGACCAAAAATCGGTTCTCGAACAAACTGAGCGCACTTGAATGAGCCACTTGACTCCTCTCGGCTTCCTTACACGAGGAAGTGACGCTTCCTCGTTTAGCGTTCCATGGTGAACAGACGTGTTCAATAAAGATTTTTTTTTTTTTAAAAAGAGCGTGGTTCCGGTTTTCGAACAGCCTTCTGGAACGGATTATGGTCGAAAACCGAGGTATGACTGTACGACTACTTTGTACAAATCAAAATTTTGTATGAATTATACAACTTAAATTAGAGTTCATCTTGAAGAGATTTAAAAAAAATTTTTTTTTTTTTGGTAAATCACAGAAATACAGTTCACCCCCAATTTTTCGCTTATATTTTCTTGTTCGGAAAACGCTGATAAGCATTTTGTGTATATTTCCTCTGAACGACAGGGGCACATGACCAAAAAAATGCCCAAAGTATTAAAACTTTTTTTTTTTTTAACTGTAAAAAAATCAAATCAAATCATCGACCGTGTGAATTTGTGGTTGCCAAACCACAAGCACGTGGGCGTCGACTGTTTTGTAACAGAAAAGAAAAAAAAATTGGGGGGGATTAGTATTGAAATTGCCAGTTTCCTGAATATATAAAATAAAATTTGTTTTCTTCAAATTTGATATTTTGTGTGGAATAATGAGAAAAATAAAATAAAATAAATAAAACAAGGGTAACTGCGGCACAAAAAAACAAAGTGCACCCCCCCTACCCGTACATACCAATGAACGGGGGCTCCACGCCCAGACAGTGCCCCCAGAAGTCGGGGCAGCAGTCGGACACGGTGCGGTTGCAGAAGAGGTCGCAGTAGCAAATGGTGTCCAAATAGGGCACGGTGCACAGGTCGTCCCGTCCGGGGCAGCAGCCGCCTCGCCGCTGGCAGTACGAACCCAGCGGATCGCGAATGCCGCCCGTGTGGAGCGGGGCGGCCAGCTCCCTCTTGGACCTCCTCCACTGGCTTCTCGCCGCGTGTCCCTCCGCCGCCACTAGGAGCAGCGCGCCCAACACGAGGAGCTTCATGATGAGTCTGCGAGCGGGGGGTAAAAGATGGAATTAAATGAAGCTGCCAAGACAAACAGCAGCTAAATACGACACTCTGTTTAGCCGGGTGGTGATGGAAAAGTTCTCCAAATGAAGAGTGATGCATCATGGGGGAGGTCATGGCGAAAGGCCGCTTCCCAGGGAAGAAGCATTTCCCGCATTTTTTCCCCCATCTCCAAAATGTCCTTATTTAGCATCATTTGTGTTGCATTTGGATTCAAGCGTTGCTAACTTTACGAGTGTTACGCTTTGTGCATCTAAAAGCAACCACTTAAGAAAATCTGTTTACCTTTATCCTAAATACCATTGATGGGCTAACTAAGTTCGGGTTGACGGTGATCAAATGATTGTGACATCAATGCTCATTTTAACCTGAAACAACTTGAATTTGGACAGAACGTTCGAGTAACACGCGTAAAGACACAACATAATACTCGCAGGCATTCATTCTTTGTCCTCTGTAAAGAACCACTGATTGTGAAAATGTCTTTTTCACGTACGGCCATACGTCCGTCGGGAAAAAAAAATATTGTGGCCAAACCCGTTTCATTATTTACATTCTATTTAATAAAGCCATTAATGTATTACGCAACATTGGTGACATTGATGTAAAACTATCACGCATATTGAGCTAAATGTTCATTTCCCGTGTACAGTTCGTTCCCATGCGCCCCCCGCCCCTCCCTCCACCCCTTGAAAATGTGACATTGTATGGAGCCTTTGGCCTGCTGCTTCCATAAATAGCATCATTAATTATCCAATCAGATCATAGGACACAATGGGAGGCCACACCCCCCGGCAAGTGAAATGAAGATTAGGAAAATATCTTTGCTGCGCTGTTTTCTGCATGACTGCGCCTTTTGTTGTGTGCGCGCACATGCACACACATGCACGCGCACGTGCGCGCACACACACACACACACACACACACACACACACACACACACACACACGTTTGGTATAATGAGATGGGCAGGACCACTCTTTCTTTACACAAATGTTTTGTTGCAGTAGCAGCAGTGCAATAAAACACCCGCCGAGGTGTTCAGGTCACGATGTGGGGGGGAAAAGAAAAACAAAACAAAAAAACATTAGAAACTCTTATCAAATGAGATCCTAAAAGTAAAAAAAACAATAATGCCAACAAAATATACAGTTTGTCCGACATATGCCGCCAGATGGAAAGTTAGGTAGCATTAGGTAATATCGGAAGTGATTCAATGTTATTCTTATATACCATAGGAAATGACAAAGCTGCCGACAATTCTCCACTGACTACTGCGTGGACAGTGGAGATACTATTTCTTGATGTATTCTACTCGATACAATGATGCACACTAATCCCGATACATTTTCATCATGTACATTCATCGAAAGTTCCAGGTTCACCGTCCCACTATTTTGTGATTTTTTTTTTTGCAGTTATTTTTGGTCTAAACCATCGCTTATATTGAGTGTAGTTTCACTACAGATCACTAGATGGCGGCATACTTATTTCTGTAAACTGTGTAGCTTTGAAACAAGAACGAAAACAGCACAGCCTATTTTTTTTGGTTGAATATTGTCATCCTCTGTCATCCTGCTTTTTGCGCCAACAGAAAGTAATAGCAGTTTCATTTTATAAGGTACATCTTTATAGTCCGCTACAAAGAACAGTGCTCACTATTCCCGCGACTTTTGTTCACATACTCTACAATTTTTGTTGTTTATGAACATTTGTCACTTTCCTCGCCATTATTTATAGCATTTAAATTATTGATACAATTCGCAAGATACAATCCTGATGACTCGTCTTGCTGCTGTTGACAGTAAGTACGATTCATTCATCCAAGTATTTGAGCGGGCTGTGACAGAGCAATTAGCTTTCATCATAGCAAGTTTACATGCTTCCAGATTACCTCTGACCCCAATGCATGGCCAATGCATGGACTTTGAGTCACATTGTACAGGACGCACAATGAGTCAGACATTCCTACATGGTGGATTGTTTCAAATAAATGCCATTTAAGTGGAAAATACATTCGTTCAGGTGTGGAAGTGGACGATATTTAGCGCAGGTGACATTTCTATTATACTGCTGTCAGGTACAATAACCAGTTGCACGCATGCACACACACACACACACACACACACACACACACACACACACACACACACACGCGCGCGCGCTGGACTCGATAACCTCTTGGACAGGGGGTGGGGGGAAACACCACCTGCGTGATTAAAATCATAGTTACATTTAACCCTTAAAATAAATAAAGACAAAAACTATTTTACAAAGTGTAACTATATGAATACATTTTATAAGAAAGAATAAATATTCAGAATGAATACAGTTAATTTTGAGAAACTATTTCTGATATACTGGTCCCACACAGTTCAAGACAAAAATATGAAAAATAAAACATGTTAAGTTTGTTGATTAACAAAATACAAGTGGAAGAAAATATGAATTAAAGTAAATATCGATTCATATTTAAATGGCAAATTAGAATTTTGTTAGTATTTTCACATAGATGCATTCAATGAGAGAAAAATCCGATTTTGTAAAGCTTATATTTGGCATCATTTCTCCATTTACGAAGCTTTTTATTTTTTATTTTTTTCACGACAGCATGCATTCAGACGGCAAACTTTAAAGCACTTTAACCAAAACCTAATATAAAAAAAAGAAAAGATTTTATGAAGCATTTCCTGGAAGAGATCATCCTGGAGCCTTTGGAACAATTGAAGGTGTCCTTTCACCAGTCAATAAAAATGTAATCAGTGCAAAAAAAAATATATATATATACATACATACACAAACACACACACAGACACACACACACGTGTGTGTGTGTCTATTTACCTTGTTGCAAAAAATCCAACTTCTTTCTTTTTAATCCGAAAGCAAAACTATGAAGGAAGTTCTGGTCTTCGGTCTTTCTCTGTGCGTGTGTGTCGAAGAGGATGTGTGGCGCTGCACTTGAGTGTTCTCTATATACAGCCAGGCAGCGGGGATAACCACACCCCCGTGACCCCACCGTCCTCCACTTCGGCCCTGCTTTGCTGCCTCGGACGCGCGCGTTCCCTTTTTCACTGCTTCCCTTCACTCCAACAGCTTTCCTATCGCTTGTCGTTTATCGAAGATTGGACGTGTGAGCGCACTCTATTTGTTTTGAATTTACTCAGCTGGAAATCAGCAACAGCATTCCCTGTCTGGTCTCACTTCAAAGGTCAAATGGTAAAATGGAGAACTTTGTAGGGTATAAGGTGTGAGGAACACCACCATCGAGTGGCCTAAATTTGTATTACGTCACCAGGAAACATTCAGAAAATTCTCTGGATTAAATTATCCCATTTTAAGTACGGTAGATAGTATTATTTTGGTGTCCTGAAATTTTAACGTATCCCGATTAAGAATTTAATTAATGTATCGCTTTATGGTGGACAGACAAATTCAGTGCTAAAATGGATTCCAATGACACATCTTTAAAAAATAAATAATAATAACAGTACAATTATTATTAAAATAATAACATATTTGTATGTTTATACTGCCAAAACTAGGTAGAGACTTAAAAAAAAAAACTTAAGGGAGGGAGAACCATGTAGTAAAACCAGGTTTGGTTTAAAATGTTGCTGTAATAAATCTAAATGTACTCAACTAAAAGTGTAGACCTACTTTTGACCTTCCTTGTAGCTAGCAGGTTAGCCTTAGCTAGCATCGTCAGCGAACACATTGTAGCTGACGACAAGAGATTTCCGTCAATTTAAATAATAGAACTGTGCCTTACACTATCATTGCTGAAAAATCCCATTTTAATAAAAAAATAATAAAGGTGCTATATCGATGCACTCTTTTGACCATAAACTATGTGCTCACCGGTCAGATTTCACATAATTTGTACTCGGGCTTTGTTCTGTTGCTTACTGATCATTTAAAAGTCTGTTTTATGTGACAAACAGAATATATTCTTCTAATTTAACTAATCAATGTGACAGTAAGATTAACAAAGTGGTTCCCCCTTGTCCCCCAAAGGCCCAGCTATTGTGTGGACAGCCCCGCAGGAACCCACTCCATCAATAAGATAAAGGTTGTTTTTTTTGGGGGCTCCTTTCATGCTATGGGGACAAAAGAAAGCGTTATACTCAACCAAAAATAGTCAACGAAATGAAAAAATGAAACCAGTAGCTTAGTTGACTCAAATAGCTAACCTTGCTAGCGCATTGGCTACTTGGTAGTTAGCGTGTCACGATCTAACAAACTTTATCCAGAGCTTGCATTGATGTAATTGAGTCAAACAGAAACAAAAAAGTACTTCAATTTCAATTGAGAGGGCCGGTGGGGGGGGGTAACAAATTCAGATTTCAAACAACTACTGTATATAATTTCACCGACCCCCGCCCACGTTGGTAATCATACTTCTTGTTTCCGTTCCTGTTAGCCACGCTGGCATATGTGATTCCAAAATGACGATAATTGCACAAGGGTGTGATTGTGTTCATGAGTAAGAAGCCTCGGGTGAGACCCCCGCGCCCATCCCATCCGCCTGTCTCCCCTCCATCAAACAAGGAGGCCGATGAATGGCTGACTCATGCGCCAATTGGGACTGAATCACGGATGACCTGTAGGCTAAAGAGTGTCGTAAGATGTACATTATCTGCGTGCATTCCATACCGCACTGACTCACGCGTGGAAAAAAAGAAAAATTAAACATCAGCATTTAGCGTTGATGGTCATTTCCGAGAATCGTGTTGCCATATGACACAATGCGGGTCGTGTATGCAGATACACGTATTTAGCCAACATACGACATCGTTGGCCTTGTACCGTAATTGTCATTTTTAAGTTGGTCACATTTACCACAAAAAAACAAAACAAAAAAAAACAGTTTTTTATGTACTTGCTAAAAAATGTAATCCACAAAGGTTGAACTGAAACAGCTCAATTCTTATTGCTTGTTGGATTTGTTTTGTTTTGTTTTTTTGTCTTTTTTTTCTAAAAGTAAACATATAACATCGGCAACTATCCTATTAGTCAATTTTTTGGGGTGGTCAAATTTAATACCGGTCTACCTTGCCTGTGCATCTATTACCAGCAATATATTTCGAGTGCAAGGAAGTACATTGCATAGCCTGATAGCGCAATTGCGAAAACCATTTTTGAACGTTTTATCAAAATGAGAAACTCTGTAAACAAGTGTCCAGCTGCTTTGACTCAGCCTTTTGCGGATCATCATCAGCTGGATAACTGAAAGTCGACATTTATTTTTTATTTTTCTAAGTTTTCATTGTTGCTGGGACAATAACTTATAAATGACTTCGGCAACTTTGCGATTCTGCAAACGATTTGCTTTGTTGCACAATTCAAAATGACAAAACTGACTTTTTAATCTAAAACTACAAAATAGGAAGATTTAATTCAAATGCTGTACAGTTATGTTACGTTAATCTCAATTTCAATGAGCACAAGTTCTATCCTGCTGGAAACTAATGAGTTGTTTGGACTTAGCGGAGGCCCATCCATGTATGTAAGAATGTTGTGATGATGAGGCCCGGCTTCACTGTTGCGTGGGCTATACGAGCACACAATTGCAGTGAAACAATTCTCCCTTTCATCAGTCCTCCCATGATGCTTTGAGGGCGTCAGCTCTCCCGTTTCCGAGGACCGGCGTTCCTCGTATCGCTCGCCGCTACAGTCGGCGTTCCAAGGACGTTGCGAAAGCGAGGGCGACGACAACAACAGGCTTCCTCCGTGTTTACCAGCTCGAGGTGTGCGGAACAACGCAACGCCCACGCGTTGACGAGAAGCGCAGACGTTTGGGAAGGAACGCTAGTGTTTTCCTGCCATTGACTGGCGACTTATCAAAAATCAAACATTATCCTCCAGAGGCAAGAATCGCAAACATTGTACCAGCACCACAGTATTCATGAGACAGTTTTTGTAGATTGACGATACAGTAGGTGATTTGTAGTGATACCGGATATCAAACGATACATGACATGGTAATATCACTATTTGTCCCATCTGCATGAGCAGAGGAAATTATGGGCTCCTGTCATACAACACCACAGTATCGGTCAGTGTCCATACGATACCTAACAGGGGTGATATTGATGGTTTGTGATATCAGCACGATAGTATTCTGATCTGATTACTATAGTTAGAATACATGATCAGGGTGACTCACAAAGATGATTTTAATGTTGCAGTATCGTGATATTATATTCACACGGTAACTTTCCGGGAAATAATACATGGTGATTGCGATACTGTATCTTGCTGCACCCCACCCAGTGGAATTGGAGAATCTTCGCATACGATATCAGCACACATGATACTATGATACAGTTACAGTCGTGTGAATATATGATGTGTGTGGATACTATAGCGGTATATTTTGTGTCATTCGCGTGATAGTACCATGATACAACTGTGATGGAGTGACTATAAAACACATCATACATGTCTGTGTACAAATACTATATTTAAAATGATACAATACACTTATTTGCGATATCATATCGTGATACAGCAACTATACAATAATCATACAATTGCACATACTTGCTATAGTTAAAGCTGCAGTCGTGCTAACTATACAATAATCATACAATTGCACATACTTGCTACAGTTAAAGCTGCAGTAGTGTTATTGTATATTTGAACCAGGCATTTAAAATTTTTTTGAGAAAAGAGAACCGATACGACATACCCGATATCGATACGTTGTCCCACCCTTACTATTCTCCCCGGAATGCTGCGTTCTTCTCATGTTTCTCGAAAAGAAAACAATCGCTTATCTCCGAGACAAAACACCTTTTTTCGCCTCTGCCCTTATTTTCCTGTTTGTTTGAGACCGTCTGCACAGATGGCGGAAGATGTTCCCAGAACAAAAATGCTAGATTGTTGTCTTGGTAGCATAGCTTTGTTTTCAGTTTCGTGATGTTTTCGAAGAAAGGCAGGAAAACTTGAGATATATTTTTATGTAGAAAATCAAAAGTCAGAGGGAGACGATTTTTTTTTTTTGTGTGTGATTTGACTTGACTCCAGTCTGACACCTTTGATTCATATTGATTGTGAAAGCTTCCATTTGCACAATCAATACTGTTGCTGACACGAGACGCGACAGACTCGTCATCACAGTCTCCGAAATTTTGTCTGAATAGGACAAAAATGTTTCTCCATGTCAGCAAATTAAGGATGACTAAAAGTCATAATGCAGTTTGGCAAAAAAGGTGACATACTGAACCAGAAGATCTTCATGTTAAATCGAAGAGAAAAATTGTGTGTACCGGTATATTATTGAACAGGCAACTTCCTCGTGAATGACATAAGAGAACAAGACCGAACCATTTCTGTGGCAGTGGGGAAGCAGAAAAAGAAAATCCATCAGCACCAAATTTTTATCGGGAAAAAAAATGGATTCGGTCAGGTGTCATCCCGCTCGAATTTAACCGACAGCGATCAATAGGCCTCAGGTGGTGCTTCCGTCTCACTCCCCCAATGTCGGCGTCTTAATTTGCGTCCCCCCCACTGGGAGGGCCAGCATCGGGTGGGGTTGGTTTTAAGACCCTCACTCAATACCTGTCACCCGCTACTGACTGCACTTTGTTTTGGTGAATACGACCCAAATTTTGTTTGACCTTGAAAGGATGCACACCAGCAAGGACGTAAATTGTATCACTCTCATGTTTCAAATACGAACAAAAATGAGCAAATATGTTCGATAACCCCCCCAGACTGAAACCAACACGAGTATATGTGTTTGAGTACTTCTGATACATCAGATTTTATTTAAACAAAATGACAGGTAGTTGTGAACTTTTCTTTCTTTTCGGTGTGGGTGACGATTCAGCGACACATCAAACCAAGTCAGTGTTGCGTCAACTAACGGCAAGGGGCCCCCCCCCCCCCGCCCCCAAGTATCAATGGATGGTATCGGCTGTCTTCCTATTTACCCAATACTTTCAAATAAGTCTAGTATTGGCAAGAAATGTGAATGTGCCTTCCGACAGCGATTTTGACTACTATTGCGTTCCATTTATGTGACTTGTCACTAAGTCACTTGTAATCAAACTTCAGCAAGCGATAAACTGGTCTGAGTCATTTTTTCCCCCCATTCTAATTTTAGCACTTCACCCACTCAAAAGCACTTTTGCCAAGAATGTCGTGAACTTGGTTCGCTGCGGAGGAAGCGCTTTTCATGTCTATTTGGACGTTAGCGTCTGTTTGTCGTGTCTTAAGTAGGAAAACACGCGTGAGCTACTAACAGACATCCGCCAGTTTTGTTACCGTTTCGGCAGGCCAAGCGGCGGAATTCCTACTGGGTTGTCAATGCACTCGTGCCCTTGTGACCGATACGGTTACCGTGGTGACTGGGACAAACAGTTCCGATTTGAAGGAGGAGGCGGAATTGTCGAAAGTTGAATGGACAGTGCTGCTTAGGATGACTTCATGTAAATACAAATTCGGATTTGTCATAAATTACGAAGGCCCCATCCTACGAATTCAGACCAGCCAATCACAGCACAGCATTGAAAAACGTTCTAGTTCTTATATTTTGTTTGATTTTTGAGAGCTAATTGTGGTGAACAGAAGTTCAATGGATTATTTATTTTTTTTGGACCTGATAAAGTTTGTGTTCGTCCACATAGACAAGTCTTTGTCTATTCTAAGGTAAGCGAGGCACTGGTATCATCTGTAAAATAAGGCCCGCCCTCCCGTGCGTGTCGCCACTTGGGCTCCTGCGGGATGCCCGGAATATTTGTGATATGCTATCGGCGCGTGTGTAGAAGCAAAGGCAAAATAAAGATTCGGAGGGAGATAACAAAATGAATGTGATTCTTGACACGCTAAAAAGCATGAAAATAGATTTGATGTTTATACTTAGTCTAAGTCTTGTTGATGTTGCGTACTGTACACCTGAACTGGACTTGAACTGTCAACAGTGTCCCTGCACACGTTATGTAAGAAGGGTAAAAAAATTAAAAAAAAACTTTGCAACTTTACATCGTATTTTTTATGGGGCGAAAAATAATTGGATTTTAAAATAAAGTTAATCCAGACATGACATTTAAATCAAGATGTCCAATCCCTCTTTTTATGCTGTGGATCAAATTAACCCATGCTAAAGAAAAAAAAAAAGAATGACTTTTAAGTGTGAATCTTGATTTGCAATTGTTTGTGACAAAAGTTAATATTAAGGTGTTAACAAGGGGGGGGGGGATTAGACTATACCTTGGGTCGAACTGACCCATTTCAACGTTTTGAAAAAGTAATTTTGTGGTACAAAACTTGATCTGAAATTGTGAGCAATTGGGAGGTGATCATGAAATAAACACAATTATTTATTTGGGATTTTTTGGGTAATTGCACACACCACGGGTCAAACTGACCTAAGACCAGTAATGCTGTTGTGGTTAAACAATAACAGGTAAGAAATCAAAACAATCTAATTGGCTGCTGAGCAAATTCTGTTGATGACATCATTTTTACATCACATTGCCTGTCCTGGGTCAATTCCAGTTCATGTCCATTTCAATCAAAACCTATCGCTAACTTTTTTTTCTGCATTTTCCTGATTGTTGAGTAGAAGATTGCGTCTGTTCATCGAAAGACTTGTCACAGGTCACATTAAACAGACACTTGCAGCAAAGTCGCATGATAATTTCAGTGACACCCGAGAGTGAAGAAACGGCGAAACCCACCCGAAGGTTCACAAACCCTGCTGATCCACTTAAACGAGGAGCTCCAAAAGTCTCCAAGGCCGCCCTCTGCTTGTCAGCCATGTTATCACTCACTTCCTGTTGTGTTCTTCCAGCATTCCAGGCTGCTTATATCACCACCCATCCAGGTGATCCTGCGGGAGACAATCAAGTTCAGCCACCTCACATCGACGAGCACTTATAAGTGAGCTTGTCGACTCACCGATTTAATGGTTAATTTCTCTTCTGCCAGAATTTTCCTGGTGTTATAACAGCTGGAGACACTCAGCTGTCCCAGGCGGCAACAACACACACAGGACAAAACATTACTTACAATTGCACACAAGACTTATAGGGAAAATACAGCTTTGACTTGATCGCTCAAACTTGAGTGCAATAACTCTTCAAGCAGTTTACTGCCACTCCCAGCTGAATTTCACTCGAAACCTAAACAGGAAACAAATAAAACTACACTGTGTATTTTAAACAACCAGCCTTTAGAGTCTGCTAGCTTAATGCTAAAGCTAATTAAAATCTACAGTATAAAGAAATTCTTTAACCTTTATAAGCGAAGGATTTAAAACACATTTACATTAACAATATAACAGTAGTCACATTCATATATTCTTTATCCTTTGTGTAGAAAGACTACTTTTAGCAACGTACTGATGACTTGCGTTCCATGTCGAAAGTTTGCTGTCAAGCTTCGCCCACCGTTTAAGATGAAAACTCACAATTTTCACAAGCGCACCTGCACATTTGGGTACTTTACCAACGTCAAATCTGCTCCAGGTCAGGCGAATTCCCTTGGAGGAGTTCTGGGGAAAATACTTAAAAAGTTTTGAATCCCCCCCGAAAAAAAAATTACTTTAAACCAAACAGCCATTTTGATTTTCACGCGTCCGGTCATGATGAACACACGTCGCGAATTTCATGTCTGTCGGGCACTGACATAGTGACAAATTTTTCAAACATTTATTTAAACAAACGAGAGCTTGGACGACATACAGTCTAAAGATCTTTTATTGAAACAAATAAATTAATAAGTTAGTCACGTGAACTACTTCTACTCTCGGCAGACGCACATCATCATCATCATCATCGTCCTGTGCGGAAATCGGCTACATCGCTGGAAGGTGGAAGACTGTAGTAGCGTAGCTTAGCATCGCTAGCTTAGCATTTTATTGCTTTCTTCGGTGTCTGATCGCTATTAGGAGGACCGTGTGAAGCTGGAATGTCGAAATGGCAGCGAGTCAGTGGGAGGGTGACGTGAAGAGCGAGAGAACGTGCAGAGTAAGAAAGGGGAAAAAAAAAGAAAGCGAAAAAGACATGCAAATGCATTCAGGCAGGCAATCGCTCGCTCTCGCACGCTTTTAGTGCCCTCCAGTGGCCTCAGAGGTAGTTGCGCCATGCCCGCTGGGTTATGATTGGTGATGTCCATTTTATGAGGCACACCTGTGCAATAACATGACGAGATCCAATGAAATAGTCCTGCCTTGATTCCTGAAATAAGCTCGAGGTATTCATTTACTCAACTTCATGGGGTTGATGCGAGGTAAGGTGTTTATCATGAAGGAAAAGCGCACATTTGTTTGTGTTGTTATTTTCCACCCCAAGTATAAATGAAGACAGTGAAAATATACCGTGAAACACGTGACTATTAATTGAGGTATGGTATTTCCTACAGAATTTTGATGTTTGTAATGGCAGTTATTTTAGTGGATCTCGAAAACCAAGCAGTGCGGGTGTGCCTAAAATCACCATTGGAAAAAGTCAATTGGTGCTTGTTGTTCTGTTAAGAAAATGTGTTTGTTTTGTTTTTTTTACATTTTCTTCATTTTTTTACCAGACGTAACATCAATGTGTGGGTCGGCGGCGTGACAGAAGGCACACCTTTCCGCCGAGCGCCCTAACAAGCGCCTTCGTCTACCACATGCAACATTGTTCTTTGAGTCGCGTGTCATAATGCCGCAAATACGTAAACATGGCTTCGGCGTGCATGATGCCAAACATGGAGTGATGTTTTTTTTTCTTTTTTTTTTTTTTTTTTGCATGTGGGCTAAGAGCCTTACATTCATCACAGTATGATTAAAAAAAGAGTACCTTTGTTTAAAAAAAGAAAAAAAAAGTACCTTTGTTTTGATACCCTTGAGACCATACCTGTGCAATTTCTATTCAGTGTACCTTGAGGGACTGGGTGGGACTCCTATTTTGCAAGCTAGTGTTGATCCTCAAGAGGCGTGCAATGGGTGGCTCTCGGTCCAGCAGAGCCCTCTGGAGGGTCCCAAGAAAAAAACAAAACAAAAAAAAAAAAACAAACCCAGAGTGTCTGGCTAGGACTCCAAGGTGGCGCTGTCGGACTGCGAGAGGGTGTTGGCGGAGGGGAAGAGGTCTCTTTGGTCCGTTGAGCTGTGGTAGTCCGACGTCAGGTCGGCATCCAGCAACAGCGAGGACAGCGCCAACTGAGACGACGAGCCTTTTTTCAGGCAAGATGAGTACAAGTTGAGCAGGAGGTCCAGCTTGTTCTCAATGGACTGAATCTGGAAAGTAAGCGGAGCAGACGATTGTTTGGTTGAAGGCGTCTTTTTTTCCCCCCTATTCGAAAAGAAATCATACTTTTTTTTTTTTTACATGATTCAAATATTTTCTGAACTACCGTCTTGGCCCGAATATAAGACGGCCCTGATTGTAAGACGACCCCCTCTTTTTCAAGACTCAAGTTTGAAAAAAGACTTTTTGAACACCAAATTAATTTTTATACAGAAAAAAATTACACTACATCTGAAACAGATGATTCTAACAATATATTTGAGAGAAAAAGCATGTTATTTTGCCTCATTCAAATCTTAATATCGGAAGATTTAAATACGTAAACTAAAGTGCAATCATATTCGTAACTGAATGGCTTCTGGTTTTTGAAATGTAAATTACATCATAACTTCTCAGCTGCCGGTTAATCTGGCCGATCTTCGACCCACTTTTCTCCAGATTGTCGCTACTTTTCTCCATTTTCTGTTATCTCTTCTATTATTTTCTTCTCTTTTTTTTTTCTTACCGCTATTTTTTTATTTTTCTTCTTCGTGCTACCGTTATTTTTATTTTTATTCTTTGTGACAGGGGTTCGCTTTGGTTCAGCATTCGCTTCAATGGTATCTGGTGCCATCTAGCGTCGTGAATGGGTATAACGTCTAGACCCCGAATATAAGACAACCAGCACTTTTTCAGTCTTATTTCAATGCAAAAAACACCGTCTTATATTCGGGCCAATACGGTAAGTGTCGGGGGCGTTTCGTAGAAAAGATACCTTTAATTTGAACCCCCCCAACAAAAGCTTCAACAACACAAATTAGATAATGACTGTTAAAATCCTTCCTGAAATAGTTGTGCAGTGTTTTTTTTTTTTCTCTCTGCATATAAATAAAAACACTATTAATAATATTCAAATAGTTCAAGTTTGGGGGAGTGCTAATCAACAGGAGAGAATATTAAATATGTATATGAGGAAATTTAAAAAACATACTTTATCTTTTTTTTTTTTTTTTTTTTTTTTTTTTACACTCATACTGTATGTACTAGTTTGAAGTATTTCATGCTTGGGGAGTTTATACACAATATGAGAAGTCTTTTGCGACTTCTTCGATATTCTTTGCACTGGTAGAGACAGATGGGGATCATGAACTAAACAAATCAACAAATATTCGACTCTATATTGTATTCCCGTATTCTTATGACAATAATATAACCGTCTCCTGTGATGTAATCAGAATGAAAAGTCATACTACAAAAGCCTGAGTTGTTGCGATGCGACAATGACAAGTGAGCGTACCTGTTTCTCCACTTTGACCACACGTCCCATCATGCTCAGCTCATCCAGAGACTCCAGTTCCGGCGGCGTCTTCTCGCCCTTTTCTGGTCGCGCCTTCTTATCGGCCTGGACGGCACCTCGCCCGATGATCTGGTCCACCCTGGTCCGCGGCATCATCAAAATCCTCATCATTTCTTTGGGGGGGGATCGTGATTAACATTCTCGCATCCTACCGCATCTGCAGGCTCTTGATACGGCCCAGCATGTCCAGGTGTCCCGCCGAGTACTGCTCGATGACGTCCTTCACGTCGTACGGACGCAGCGTCTCCTTGAACTTCCTCTTGGCCACCAGGAACTTCAAAATCCTGCCGCCGCGCAAATAAAGAGAAGCGTTGGGCGCTTCCTGCCCCGCCCTCTCTCGAACGCTCACAATTCAAACAATAAAAGCTCCGCCGCTTAAGATTAATTACAGTATCCAATGACCTTATCATTCACAAACGGGCCCAATCAAAGAGAGCAATGCGTGTGTGTGTGTGTGTGTGGATTGTGATGATGAGGATGAAGATGAGACATTTGGGCTTATCGGGATTTGCTGCTTCAGCAAAACAGGAAACAGCGTGAGCCAGCGTCGCTAAATGGAATGCGCCGTCAAAGCTGCTCACTGAAACTCAAAGAGAAGACAATCGACCCTAACGAACTGGACAAAAAAAACGTTTTGAAGAAAAATCAGGGCGCTGGAATAAAAACTCCACCCCCACTTTTAGCGATTAAGAGCCAACATATGAGCAGCAAAAACAATATGATTGAATGAAATTCAACAGGAGATAACCCAAAATGGTCTGTATAAACACACAATCTGGATTGAAACTGACTTGACATTGCCACTTATTATCCTGCACACTCACAATTTTGTTCAAATATAAGGATTTTCAGAGAGCTATATTGTGCATGCTTAAATGTGTCCAATGTAAACACACACAACCTGGATCAAATCTGGATGAGTAAATCTAGTCCAAACCAGAAAAGTTTTTTTTTTTTAATTTTGCCCGTGGATTATTTTTTGATGACATCATCAACACCAAAATGTCATAGGAGGTTCATGTACTAAATCTAAAAATCTGAAACAGGATGTGGTGCCCAAATAAGTAAAAGAGAATTGCAGTGTTACCAAAACTTGATTTTCAATTTCTTTCTAATTCTGCAAAGGGCAGCTTTTGGTTTTAGTCACTGATACTCTTCTCCCCCCCCC